TTAACGTTAAAATTTATGTTTAAATGGACTTTTGTATTTTGTAATGTGATAAAAAAAATTTCAATTTTTTCATAGTTTTTTAATTATTTCAATTTATCTAAATTTTTTCTGATAAATTGATTCTGATTTTCGAATTCTGTTTTCCTTCTTAAGTAATCAGTTTTGCATTTTCTAATTTTAAACGCTTTAAAGTATTGTATTTTCTGCAAAGAGATTACAAGGTTAACCGACAAAAATAATTTTGTGTTATATAAACAATGATGTTTATATAACAATCACCACCAACAATTGCCTTCAATATGTCGGTCTAAACACTTTGGCATACGGCCCTTCATTGGTCAATCTGCTGTGCATGTGGCCCTTCACTGAAAAAGGTTGTGCACCCCTATTCTAAGCCAAATATGTGAAAAAATTGCAATAATTTATCTATTAAGTTCTTGCCCGTGCAATTTGCGCTGCTTCGAAAAATTCCCAATCCAAACATCGGATTGCATAACATCGATAATTTTTGATGCAAGACCCAGTCCTTGTCACGGAATTCACTTATTTATTCTTTAGATTCTACTTATGTTAATTTATTTTAAAAGTTTGGATCACTAACACAATATTGAATAAATTTTTTTTTTTTTAAATGTTTTTAACTCTTTATTAGCTACATTTATTTACTTGCGTTTTTTATTTTTAGACTGTCTCTGAAGCATTTAGAGAAGCAAATTTAGCTGCGTATTTTGGTAAACCGATAAATTCTTAAGCCGCAATTAGAGTTTTATCTGAACTAAGACATTCTTGTTATTCTGTGTATAAAGAATGGTGTATAGGAGGAAGACCAGTTACCTCTCCGAGCAAAAAAACTCATCACCCAATGTTTCTTCAGAATATATTAAAAGTCTTGTACAAATATTATAGAGCATTTTTGTTAAAATAAAATTTGTGTTTACATTTTTCTTGTTTTTGAATTCTCCCTCACAGTTTTGTCTGTTTATTGATGCATCTATCTTGGTAAGAAGGTTGTTATTTCAGTTATTTATTCCAGTTAAATCTCAGTTTGTTATTATTAGTAAATAAATTACTTTGATTTATTTTACTAGGATTAGTAATTAGTAAAATAATTCAAAGTATTTTAAATTAGGATCCTTGGCAGAGTAGCTTTTCATGATTCACTTCGAAATGCTTTGTAGTTGAATTAGAAACATATTGGAAGTTGCATTAATAATATTGTACAAATACTTTGCATTAGTATTATAAACACAATGGAATAATGCAGTTGTATTTCAGCAGGGCAGAGATATCAACCATTACAGATTCTGTTTAAAAGCTATAAAAATAGAATCTAATTTTTAGATTTTTAAAAAAAAAGTTAGATCATTATTTTTTTGTTTATTTCTTTACGGTTTGTAAAATGGAAGATTTTTTCAGAGCAGGAGACAAACCGTTGTCTTTTAATATATGGGCAAACTTATTTTTTCTGTAAACAAGGAAGTTTTCTTGTGCTTTTATGAACTTACTATTAATATTTTTCTCTTAAATTCTTATATTAACTCTTTGATGCAGATAGGACACCAGCGTCCCTTACATATAAACAATGAAACCTTGGTTAAGTGAACACACTTGAGACTGAAAAAAATTGTCTGATTATGGAAGTTGACCGCTTACAGGAAGGGTACCCTTATATCGAAGTTTAAAACTCTAAATTGTATTTAGAATATTTTCAATGATATAGAAATAATTAAATAATCTACAATGTTTATTTAAACAATGAGGATGTTTATTTTAACTTGAAAAGTATTTTTTTCTATACAAAAAGGATATATGGAAAAGTTTGATATAAATATATAATTCGAGATGTAGCTACTGATGAATGCATATAATTTTCCTATTAGCACAGATATTCAAATTAGTCATAGGATACCGAATATTAGCTTTAGTCCTCTGTCGGTATCAATTATTATGTTTATACCCCCAAGTACTTACCCATCACTTGATGGGAAACGAGGTTAATACCTCTTTTAAAGTAAACCTGCGATTCACAGAAAGCAAAAATATCAATGCTTGCCTTATAAGGTACGAGGACCTATGGAATCGCTATATTCACAATTAATCATCTATTAAGTGTCTGAATAAATGTTTTATTTATATGAACAAAGGTTATATTTCTGTTCATTTTCCCCCCCACCTCAGCTGTGTTAAACACTGTCAAAGAAATTTTCAGTGGGGAAGCATTGAGAGCATTTAAGATGTTATATCAACTTAAGGGGTGGCATTAAGGGGTGTCGTCTAGATAAAAAGATGTTGTCTGGGTGAGCAGTACATTTTCTCTACTTTCTTTGCAAATATAAGGAGAAAGATTGATTCTCAGTGTCCGTAACTGGAGTTAGAATGTAAAATGCTAAATTTCCATCATTTGGCTACTGGTGATTGAATGTGAAATGATGAATTTCAGTAATTTGTGTCCTCGTAATTGACCATAAAATGACGAATTTTTGTTTTGAAGATTATATATTTAATAACATAAATATTTCTTTGACACATATTTTTAGATGTGTGTTAAAAATTAATGTTAAATAACTTGTTTAGATGTGTGTTGAAAATTAATGTAATTTTTCATAAACTTGTTTGTAATTTTTCAGTTAGAATTATAAGCCTCCATTCAACGAGTTATCCTATTGCTTTGAGCTTCATACTAAATATAGCCACAAGATTTATCTTAATGGAATTAAATAGAAATAATAATAAATGGAGGATTCAAAATTAACACGTTGAATGCCACGCTAATTTTACATGGCTTGCTCGTCTGGCCACACGGTAAATAACTACAAACTAAATTTGCATATATAGACAGATTCGGCAAGTTTATAAAAGGTTTAACATGACATGTCTGAAAAAAGTGATGAATCATATATTCCTATGAATTGTTTGAAAAAAATTGGTGGATAAAAATCTACTAATTAAACAATGAGCATCTTAGATGGGTATATAAAATTGAAACAATACAAACTTTTAACTTCATTTTTTTGTGACTGCATGTAATATTGTGATTAAAATAGCAAAAATTTAATTTAAAAGATTTAATTATTGGAAACAAGAACATATTGTTAATGAAATTACAAATAAGGAGTTTTTCTTTTTCCTAGAAATACTTTAGCGAATATATTTAGAATTCTTCTATCAAAGGAACATCACCAGATTTGTCGTCTAACAGTTCGTAGTTATTGGTAGATCTGGGACGTTTTTCTGGCATTTCGTACTGCAGCATATCCCAGAATAATCTCGTTCCGAACTTGAGACTCCTTGAGGATTCCATCATGGTGGAAGGTTCATGGGTGGATGGTTCATGGTTCATGGGTGGAAGGGGTCCAAACTTCACAAGGATGACCCGATGCAATTTTTCCTCCAGTGAATTCGCAAATGCGACTCTAAATATCTCCATACAGAACTCGTTTTTCAGGTAGTGCCTGCGTAAATATAAATTTGAAATTCCTGAGTTAACCCTTTCCATACAATAAATTTCGATTGAAAACTTTTGTTAGGGTAAACACTGTTACCTTGACAAAACATAACAATACATTGGACTGTAGTTTGTTATTTAAAGAATAGTGGTTGTCAAACATTTAAAAGCTTTAAGATTTTTTTGTCATTTGCTAACATTGAATGAGATAGTGTTGTCTCAGAGTGGCTATTTAATTCGCAAATGCCACTCTAAATATCTCCATGCAGAACTCGTTTCTCAGGTAGTGCTTGCGTATGGATAAACTTAAAATTCGTGAGTTAACCTTGTCCGGGAATATAAAGTTCGATTGAAAATTTTTGTTAGGGTAAACACTATTGCCCTAACAAACCATAATACATTAGACAGTAGTTAGTTATTTAAAGAATAGTGGCTGCCAAACTTTTAAAAGCTAGCTTTTAAACATTCATTAAATTTTTAGTGGTTTATAACATTGAGTGAATTAGTGTTCTCAGATTGGCTATATTGCAGGGTTAGAAACAAGAGGGGGGAGAAGTAATTTGCTCCTTTCTTATTTTAATTGAAATAAATTAATAAGCGTTAAATACTCCAAACGCCCATTAATATAGAGTATTTCCCTCAAATATAGGATATCAAATAGCCAGTGCAATACTACTTCACTTGGTTGATATGGGAATCAATATTTGGTTGGAGTTAGAGCCCGACTTAGCCTAATTGGGGCCCCCTCTGCTTCACTTTTTCAGTAATGAAGAACCGAACTTTATGGAAGTATTTAAATTTTTCACCTCATTGCAGATAACAAAACAATTGACTAGAACCTAAAATAGCTATAATCACCCTCCCCCAATGGTCAGACGAAATATCGTTTGGTCCATTTTATTGATTTTCTGACCATTCTATGTCCATCATGCCGAAAGCAGTTTTCCGATTGTTAACATTGTCATCTATCTGCGAAAAATTTATATCCTTGCTGACATTAGGGTGGAATTCAGCTAAGTTTTCGCAACAACGATGTTTCAATGAAGACAATCAGAAACCTGTATTTTCTTTAACATATCGCATTTTGCGATATGAAAAAATATAGGCTTTTGATTGACCAAATTTGTCCACCGTAATTTCGAAAATTTAGCTGAATTACGGCCCTAGAAAGCAATGGATTTACGAAATATAGATTGTGTTCATACAATAGATTAATGAAGAAGCCAACATAAAATTGACGATTTTTCACTTTACTGATATTTTGAACTTAAAATAAACTTTCTATTCGGGAGCCCCTTCTGATGTAGGGGTCCTGGGCTATTGCAACGCTTTCCATAACTGAAAGCCTCCACACGGTTTTGTATAGGTAGTCCGATCAGACCACTGTGAAGGATGTCCACTTTCCAAACGAGTCACTTAATACAAAATCTAGTTAAAATAAGAAAGTGGTAGCAAATATACGACTAAAATTTTGTTTTATTTATGAATATTATTGGTTTGCCTTATTCACTTGTCAACCACTACAGATTCAATTCGCAAATACATATGATGAATTTCTCTCAGTTACTTTAATAAAAGATTTTGGGTTCATGCTATTAATTAATAACTAGATTACTATAATAATTTTGATGAATTATTCAAAGTTGTATTAAAAATAAAATATTTAGGTTATAAACGGTTAAAATACTGGCAAAAAATGATGCGTACACTTACCTAGAAAGCAAGATGATTGCACGTTTGCTATCCAAAACTTGTTCCATCAGATTGTTTATTTCAAAATTTCCTGCTTTGAGATCTCTCTGGGGTACAAATAATTTATAAAATGGATGTTTCTCCTCCAGCTCTAAAGAAATGTAAAAATAAGCAATTTTTTTTTTTTTTTTTTTTTATAGGATGGTTTATCTTTCTTTCCAGATTAGAAAATATTTTTCTTGCAATCAAGTTTTTTTTCAGGTCAAAGGGAAGTAAGAAAGACTAAACTATTTTTTTAATTGAAAATTGATTATACATCAGAATTTAAATGGGAAGTTTTCAAGAAGTGGAAGCATATAACACTGATCCAAACTTTAAGCTTTGACAGCATTTAAGATTAAATTTAATTTTCAGTACATTTTTTTATGGTAAATTTATTATTCTTTCAAGTGACAAGACATAAATTTTTTCTACCATTTTCTACAAATATCTCAATTTTTTTTTCTAACCTAAAGGATGAATTTTGGGCATTCACGCTGTTAACGATGCCAATTAACAAATAAATAAATTAATAAATAAGTAAATAAAAAAATAGCTTCATTATGATAAAATAAGATTAAAATGATTACAAAAAATGTACCACATCATCAGTTTTACCATAAAATCCAGAGTTAATAATCAAGGATGGAAATATCTTCAACAAATCAGTTCAAATATTGGTTTTTGCTGATGATTTAGATATTATCGCTAGAACGCAGACAGCACTAACACAATCCTTTTTATGTCTGGAGAAGGAAGCTATTAAGATGGGATTAAGAATCAATGAAAATAAAACTAAATATATGCCCTGCACAAAAGCTGGCTATAAAGAAACACAGTTTGAAATTGGAGCATACAAATTCGAAGCCGTTGATAGCTTCACCTATTTGGGGTCTATAACAACAAAAATGACACTACACAAGAAATACACACGAGAATCACGATGGCCAATAAGTATTTTTATGGCCTAAGAAAATATCTTAAGTCAAGCCTAATAAAAAGTAAAACAAAAGTGTTACTCTATAAATGTCTTATACGATCAGTGCTTACATACGCATGTGAGACCTGGACAATGACCCGTGGAGATGAAAATATGATAGCTAGTTTTGAGAGAAAAATTCTGCGAAGCATTTTTGGTGGAATAAGTAAAAACGGTACCTGGTTTAGAAGATCAAATACGGAACTCTACAAAGCATATAAAGAACCTGATGTCATTAAATTTATCAAAATTCAGGGGATTGGATGGGCGGGCCACATTGTGGGAATGGAGGATGGCAGGACAACCAAGAAGGTTTTCTGTGCCAGGCCAGCCGGTACAAGAGGGGGAGGACGACCAGGCCTGGGATTTTTAGACTGCCTTGGAGGGGACCTACGGATTTTAAAGATGATTGACTGGGGGACCTTGGCTAGGGGAAGAATGTCTTGGCATAGGCTTGTTGAGAAGGCCAAGGCCCATCCTGGGCTGTCGTGCCAATGAGAAGAAGAAGAATAATAATCAAGGATAAAAACCAAATGTAAAATAATAATAAATAAAATTTATTGAATTTTTAAATTATTATTTTCAAATTTTTTCCACTTACCTGGCAAAAAATGGTGTCTGACCATTTCAGCGTCTTCATCAGAGAACGAAATATATGCATCATATAGTTTTCCAGTGTCTCTCTTGTCTCTATTTTTGAGGCATCTGAAACCTCTTGAGTAGAGCCAAACTCTTAAATGATATCGATATCGGAAATAAACCACAAAAGAGGTCACGGTCATCATAAGTGTCACTGCAACAAATGTAAGAATCACTGACTCCAGATAAAAAAAAATAGCATATTTAGTATAACATATGGTGAAAAATGATTGTTTAATAAATATGAGTAGTTGTAGGCTTTTATTTTTCCTGCAAGTAGGGAAATAATAGTTACAAATATGCTCCTTAAGACATCTCAAACTTTTTGAATGCAGCCAAAATAATAAATGATATCTATATACAACCATTGACCAGACGTTTTCAATTGGTGAGAGATCAGGAGAACGTGCTGACCAGGGCAACAGGTGAACATGCTCTGCGTCAAGGAAGTTCAGGATAGTACGGGCAACATGCGGTCGTGCATTCCGTGCTGAAACGTAGCGTTATGTAATCTTCGAAGATATGGCAGTGGCCCTAACACATCAGAAATGTAACGGCTGCTGTTCAAAGTTCCGGCAATGCAAACAAGAGTTGATCGAGACGCGTGTCCAATGGCACCAAATACCTACTCCAGGTGATGGGCCAGTATGGCGATGTCAAATGCAAGCAGCCAATGGGTGTTCTCCACCATGTCGCCAAACACTAAGCGACCGTCATGATGCAGAACCTGGAATCGCATGAAAAGACGACGTCCTGCTATTCCTGCGTCCAGGTTCGTCGTTGATCACTCCACTGGAGGCGCTTCTGCCTGTGATGTAGGGTCAAGTTTAGTCAAAGCCATCGTCACCGTGCTGACAGTCCATGCTGCTGCAAACGTCGCTGAACTGTTCGTGCAGACAGTTGCTGTCTTGCAAATGACCCCATTTGTTGTCACAGGGTTCGTGACATAGCTGTACGACCCCTTAAAGCCATGTGGATAATATGTCTGTCCTCTCGGCTAGTGATGGGGAGGCCCGCTGAGATTCTGCACGACGTTCCATCTCACCGTTCATCGATTCCATATTTTGCTAACAGTCATGGGATTTCGACCAACGCGACCAGCGGTATGATAAACCGCAATTCCGGTAGGCCGCAATTGGACCTCGATTAAACTCAGACACGTGCTGGTAGTCATTTCTCCTTCTTACACGAGGCATAACAAAAACTTTTTTTACCCAAGAACAACGCTCAAATTCAATTTCTGAATGAGAAATTTACTGTCAAATTTCTTCTTTTACTCACATTAAAAGTGTCGCTACAGCCGCCTGCTTTGCAGGAATGCGCTGATAAGCTAATCATTTGCATACCACAACATGCTTTATCCGTTTTGCAAATTTCAAGTTCGTAGTGTGTCGCTTTACTAGTGTAGCAAATTCAAAAGCTATAATAGAAATGAAGCAGCAAAGTAAACTACTTTTATAGTTTTTTCAATTTAAAAATACTTGATATATGCGAAATCAATGATAAATTATAAATAGTACTTACTCAAGCTTCCTGCTCCCATTAAGATATAGTTCCGTAATAATTCAGGGCAAAATTCAATTTCGCTTAGATTCATTATTAATCTCCCTCTCAAGCTTTCTTTGCCGTCTCTGTAGCTACAAACTGTCTCATTTGCATCTGTAATCTGGAAATATTTACATGATACGTGATACAATAATGTGATACAATAAACAGAGCATCTACGGGAATGGATGAAAGAATTTTAATTTTTTTGTCTGTATTTTTTTGTCTACCGACGTAAATAAAGTAACTACCTATTTAATTATATTTATATGTTAAGAACATTCAAGGAATGAATGTTCTTAACATATAAATATAATTAAATTATTGAAAACAATTTCCGAGAGAAAACTTAGCTTCCTCTGACAACTTCTTAGTTTTAAGCGATTGTATTAACCGCATTTTTTCACCTTCTATTCATAATTATCCTGAGAATCAGCGTCCAACATGTTTGACAACATTTGGTAGAATTTTATAACTTGAAAAATAATATTTAGTATTTTTTTGTTTGTTTGTATGAGAACGATTCTATGTAAAAATACAATTAGAATTATTTTTGTCTGTTGGAGTTCTTAATTACAATGGAAAATTATGACAAAAAAGAGGAATTAGATTTGAGTAACCTTTTGGATAGTTTCAGCGCACTTAGAAGATAGAATAAATAGAATATTATTATAATCTTGTGTATTTTGGTTCATAACCAAAATTAAAAAAGAAAAAAAAAACAACACATTTTTAAAGCATCCTACATCAATGTGCACATTATAAAAGTATCCTACAATTTGTAGAAGCGCGTTGGCAGGTATGTATCAGCTACTGTTCCAATTTTTAAGTCTCGCAGTGAACTGATCGTAAAGATACGGTTCCCAGTAGAACATTGAAGTCAAGCATCACTGGCTGCGGTCAGTAAGTGGGTGGGTGACCACTTAGATCAACCTGCGTAAGGGCCGAGGGAGGGCGGTATCGGTCCTCGTTGAACTGTTCCACTGTAATGTGCTCGACTCCACGAGCAGTTCGTTGGGTTAGCAAAGCAGGGCTGCCACCCCCTCTGCAGAGGATCAAAATTGCGATGGCATGCCTTTGGATCATCCTCAGGGATGTTTTCTAAACCACCGCCAATAGCCCATTGTGCAGCTCTAGTGCGACGTAAATAAAGTAACTACCTACCTACCGTTTCAATTTTTAAAGGTCATATAAATTGGAAAGTTGGAAATTAAGTAAATTTCGGCGATTAAGCTCGAAGCGTCATTGACTGATTCATCGAGTCTTAGGACCTAGTATTAAATGTCATAAATATAAGGGTCATATAATTAAACAGAACCGAACTGAATAAAAATATCTGGGTAATAGAGGCCGCTTGCATCTCTTCAACTCATTCATCCTGATCGATATGGTGGTTCAATAAAGTTATATACAATGTCGTGATAAAAGCATAGAGCATAAGGGGTCTTATAAGTAGGTTCTAAAGTCTATATTAACATTTTACGGTCGTACGTCTACTCTCAGTCACCAACACTTTTTTACCGTTCCAGTCGTATGTCTGCTCTCAGCAACCACAGCAAAGAACCATACTGATCTTATATTACATTAAATCGACAAGATTCGGAGATACGTAGAATGAGAAATAATATTTTATAAATTGTGTTTAAGTAAATTAATTCCGACCAGCATGACACCCATGTATAAACTTAATACGACCACAAATGGTTAAAAGGAATTTTCTATTATAAGGTTGGTAATAATGAATGGGTCATATGTTTTTTTCCTTTAAAAGTTAGTTAAAAGCAGCGTGATTCAACTTCCATGTCTTTCCCTCCCCCAAAGAGTGTACAGACCTCGGCATGGGTGTTAAAAAAATGTCGAATAATTTTATTAAATTAAATCAGTGTTTCCCAATCTTATGGCTTTTGTGTACCCTCTCCAAAGTTTTCGTAACGCTGTGTATCACTAATAAAAAGATGAATGTACTTTTTAAAAATGTGTTTATTTTTATTAACATATTTTAGTTATTAACAGTTAACTCTGCAAAAAATACCCAATAGAAAAATACGTAATCGTAAATTTTCATGGCTAGCATTGCTTTTAAATAAAATGTTTTGAACTTTTCATTTGTTGCAAGACCATTTCGCATAAGAAGCGCGTATCCCCGCTAAACTGTTCCCGTTCCCCTGGGGGTACGCGTACCACATTTTGGGAAGCACTGAATTAAATTAATCGTAAGTAATTAAAGATAGATTTATTCCAATGCATTGCCTTAGATTCGTGTGCTATCATCCACTTTCTGAAAGGCAGAGTATCGCAATCACAATACCACGGATTTCGAGATAGAGTGAATGTTTTGACATTAGACGGTGGATAATCTATGAATCTTGTAATATTGTTGTTTGCCAGTAGAAGAACCTCTATGTTATTGGGAAGTTTGAAGTCCACTCGAGCAATTAAGTTGCTTTCCAGATTCAAGATCTTTAACTTGGATGTTGAAGGAAGGTTGAGCTTGATTGGATTTGACAGCATGTTTTCTCGAAGATTCAGTTCGCCAATCAATTCTGGAAATTTAGTTGGAATCTAACGAAGGAAAATAAAGTTTTTAATCTAATAAATCTAAATGTTTATAAGATGCATGATCATTTCCAGAAATATCGTTATTTTGAGTGGAAAACTCTTATAAACAGTTTTTATACTTAATTGTAGTTCAGTTATAAATATTGTTTTACAATTAAATTGTAAAGTTGCGAGGAGTTCAGATTAATATGATATTAAAAGTGGCCGGTTAATAATAAATAAGGTTGTTTTATATTGCAAGAACTTAAAATCTTCTAATTCTAATTATTGCCTGATCTCGGCAACTATCGCCGAAGGCAGCACTAATCGATCCTTCGGTGGATATTTAATTAATATCTAAATTGACTCGTTTAGTATTTGCTGTTGAATAAGGAGATTGTTGACAGCAAATTGTTCGTGACGTTCTGATGTCTTTAATGCGTGTAGATTGTACTAAGGACAGCGTCCGAAAGAAAGAAGGTAGTTGCTGCATTATATTTGGCTGTTGTGTTGATAAGTTCTTGTTGAAATATGGTGCAATAATTTTTTTGGTCACTGAATCAAGTTATCTGTTTTTTTCCCAATGCCCACCTGGATAATGACCAAGGTCATGCAGGCACATGAAGGGCAGATTTGTTGACCACTCTTTCAGGGGCACCATATTAGGTGGGTCAACGCTGCTCCCACAGTAAGGACAGATAGTACGGAGAAGGAAAGAACATCCATGCCTTGCCCGGGATTCGAACCCAGAACCTTTCTGATGCACCGGCAGTTCCCTAACCCCTGATCTGTTGTCAATTGACTTAAATTTTTTTTTACATGAAATGGATAGGTACAGAACACTGGAAGACGAACATTGAAAACGTAGTTTGTAAACGAACATTAGATCTCGCATGTTAATTATTTCAAATAAGGTAGTGGTAAATAAAAGATGGTACACATTGGAAAGATGGCTAATCATTCTATAATAAAATAATTTGTTTTCCTCTTTTTTTCTTATTACCCTGATTATAGTCATTCTAAAAGTTTCATTTTATCTACTCAGCTCTTCATTTATAGAGGCTACTATTCAAAATTAATTTCGTACTATTAAAAACCATGCAATAACAAATTATCTGTTAAAAATTAAAAAAAAAAAATACTTCTCTCAGTTCTCTTGATGAGCAATTCACATTCACATAACGCTCTTCGCCGTCTGCAACGCATGAACACTCACAAGGAGATGGACAATCATCTTTTGGCCACGAAACCAAGTCTTCTTTTGTCAATTGACTTAACTTTTTTGATTTGAAATGGATTGGTGAAGAACAGTTGAAGTCGAGATTTAAGTTTCGTAAGTTTGTGTTCTGCATCCAATCTTTGATCCATAAAAGGCGACAATCACATATCCATTTATTTTCTGTAAAATAAAAAGAATGTAAACACGTCTAATTTTGGAAGTACAGAATAAAGATTAAAAAGGCGTCTACCAAATTTTGTACTTAGCCATTTAAAATTGCATTCTTTAAAATGATGTAAGAAACTGTATACCTTACATTTCAAATTTTTTCGAGTAATATTAAAAAAAGAAATAATGAAAAAGGATAAATGTTATCTAAAAGCTATTTTTTTGATAAATATTTACTAAAAGCTATTATTTTTGGATAAACGAATTATTATGAATTAAACGAATTCTTTAAATTCGTTATTCGTATCTTTCAGTTTAATTCCTCTTCAATTTGCATTTAAAAATTAGTAATTTAGGGAAAACCCATTATGATTTAGTCGTTTTTAAGAAATATACACAATGCGATAACTAATTTCTTTCAACTAGTGGGCTGCGCTCCCTGCTCGCTAACGCTTGCCAACCCCCGCTTATATGGTTTGCTTCGCAAACCAAGCTCGCTTCGCTCGCTACTAACTTAGGTACATTGCAAATGCACAAAATTCTAAGAATTCAAAACAATCATTCAAATCCATATAAAAACTTTTTTTTGAAAAAAAAATTACATCTTTTTAGTAAATACTAAGACATTAAAATAAATTTGAATTCAAATAAATGACATGTAATTCGTTAAACCTATTAGAAATATGCTATAGAATAATTCGTAATCTAAATCAAAAATCGTCAAATAAATTCGTAATCTATAAATTTGTGAAAAAAAAGCTCTTTCGACAAAATACTAAAATAGAGATCTATCGGCAAAGACTACTCAATTCTGCCTAGCTTAATAGTATGAGATTGCCAAAGCTGATGCTCTCTGGTTATTTCCGTTTCCGTTTTTAAAAGAGCTATATGTTGAGCCATCTCAGCTAGATTTGGCATGTGACATTTTTAGCTGTAATCATTGGTCGATTCGCCGTGTAAGAGAAATAGTAACGTAAACAAAACAAACAAACGTTGCCACTGGCGGAAAAGAAATACAGCCAAAATTTGGGAGCCACGTAAGAGAATTATATATATTAGATTGTATTTTCTGTAAATTGTATTCTGTAATTTCTATAAATTGTATTTTATGCCGATAAAATTTATTACTATCTCAAAGACTGGTAACTAGCATATTGTCCAATCGATGAATTTTAAATTTTCATTGGTGAGATAAGGAAAAAAAAATTGCGTATAAAAGACGCATTTTTGAACTATTGGTCGCATTTTCCTTCTGCATCGTGCTACAGGAATACCTCAAAAAAATGTGCTAAAATAAGTATAAAGTGTCAGGATACGCTTATTTAAACGCACTTTTTTTTCAAGAAACATGCTTTTTTCCTATTATATTTGGATTTATCACTTCTAATATATGAGAGAGAGATCGAGTTTTGAAAAGGTGATTTCTATACTTTTACCGCTATAACGGTACAAAGATTTAACCATACAAAGTAATGTGTCGCATTTGTCATCATATCTTTTCAAAGACTTTTTAAACTGATCCGGCCATTTGTCGAGTTTGAGTAGTTATGGATTTATTTCAAATAAATAAAAAGTGCTTGTTAAAATATTTTGCTGCCAGTCTACTTCAGAAAGAGATAATGCATTGATAATAACTATCACGTCTTATAAATGACAAAGCATTTGGTGAAAGTATCAAATTACATTAGGTAACTAATAAACAAATTTTTTTTATTTTATTATTTTAATCAAATCTTGACAACAGCTAAAACAATCGGCCTGGTGCATGTTAAATATATTGGGGTTAAAAGTTCTCTTGTTGGATGTGGTGTGTAAGTTTGAAGAGAAGGTGCTGTACACGTCGTCTGACCAGAGTTAAAATTACGATTCATTCTTACCATGGCCGTGAAAAGATACAGCTCTAAATATGGGGCTAGGTGTTTGGCCATGGTTGAGTAACGTGTATAGAAATATTGCATAATATATTTTGAATTGATTAGTGCTTACATTAATTTAAATAGCATTTTAAAGAACTAAGAGGTTAAACAAAAGTGATGGGAGTAAATAAAGTTTTCTATTATGTATACATTTTTGCATTGAGTATGTTTATGATAAAAGGAGGAAATAAAAGCTTTAAAATAATTGTCCAAATTGTACTAACCTGATGAAAACATTTCTCGAATCTTTATAATACGAGGAAATGATTCTCTGGATAAAACACTCAGTTTGTTCTTTCTAATAGTTAAGGATTTTAAATTAGATAAATTTTTAAAAGCACCATGAACTCGGCTTAAATTGGTGTTTGCCAAGTTCAATCTTGTTACTCGACCAGCCGCTGAGAAATCATTTTCATTCAGTTCTCCTAGACCATTAGAATGCAGAATAAGTTCTCTCAGATAGGGAGTGTTTCTAAATGAACCATTCAAATTCTTCAACTCATTTTCGGATAGATTGATAATTTGTAACTGTTTCAAATGAGAAAAAGCTTCTGAATCAATTTGGGAAATATTATTTATGTTGAGTGACAACTTTCTAAGCCATGGACTTGTAGAAAAATCCGTATTTTTTATCCACCGAAGTCTGTTTCTACTTAAATCAATACTTTTCAGTGAGGCCATCGAATGAAAAGTATTATCACAAGATTCGATTAAGTTATCACTTAAATCGATATGCTCCAATCGATAGTTCTGACCAAAACAATTTTTAACACTCCTTAGGCGATTGTTTTTAAGAGTAACTTTAATCAAGTTTTCCAAATTGTTGAAAAAGCCATCAGGAATAATTCTCAATGAGTTGCAGCTCAAATCTAGTTCTTCAAGGTGAGAAAATGGTATCAGAAATGCTTTTGAAACCTTCTCGAGACCGCATTCTCTTAAAGATAATTTAAGCAAGTTGTGAAGGTTGAAACCTAGTGCCTTATCACTGATATAAGTTAGATTCTTATTTCCATTCAAGTGCAGCTCTTCAATATCCATAATATCGTTAAATGCTTCTTCCAGTGAGGTTAAATCATTCCTTTTGAGATTGATTACCTGCAATAAAAAATATGCAATAACTCCATTAAAAAGTCAGTAATTTTGTTAGTCAATAGAGAGATTTTGCACTTTTATGTTAGCTTCCGTACACTCTAATACATAAAATCGAAGCAAAAATTGCATCGCATGCTCACGTTTATTTTAGTTGCTATGTATCTTTACGTTATGTTGGCGTGATTTACGTTTCAAGGATAAAGCTACAAGCGCACTGTTTATAAATGTTAAATGCTGTTTTCTGATTAAGTCTACCCCCCTCCCCCACAATTTTTTTTTAAATATTTTTTTCAAAAAAAAAAAAAAAAAATTAAACTGGGGTTTTTAATGCTAGTCTTCACATTTATTTTTTTATAATGAACAATAGAATAATACATAAATAATTCAAGTATTCAACATCTTTAAATAATAAATGTAATGCGTTTTTTGGAAACTTTGGCAAATCTGTCAATGATTTTTTTCAACATCCAAATAAATTTCTCGATGAATGTTTAATGATGCGAGTCCATTTAAACGTTCTTGATTTTGAATTGCTCCTAGGCCAAGTTTTGAGACGTCGAAAAGTTGGGAAGGAACGTTCTGCTGTTGCTGTACTAACTGGTAGAGTTATTAAAATTCTAAACAATATATTGATTGATGGGTAAAATGTCTTATTTCTTTTGTAAAGTATTAAAAAAATTGTTATTCTTATTTTTTTTTCAATTTGGGGGTGGGGCGTTTGGCCCACGTCCCACCAACCCAGCGGGGGTTGTAAATGCGACCCCGCTATTTGAAGACTCATCGTGAGCGAAACGGGGACAGGTGTACGCTAAATATGCCGGGATCATTAAGTTTAGCATAATCGAAACTATTTTTAGCATTATCGAAATATGTTTTGCTTAGTTTAAACTATACAAACCTACATTTGAGATTCCTTGGAAAACAATGTTCCTTCTGGTAGAGATTTAAGGAACAAATTTTAAAACAATTATAATTCTTATGAAATTTTATCAAGCTATACATCGGAACACTGGGATCGAAGCCCTTTATAAAAATTAAAAAAAGGTAGCCAATTTACTTTAAACTATCAAACAAAAGTCCTCATTCAAATTTAAGGTAGAAAAATAATTTTCACCTTTCACTTAAATTTTAATATATAGCACAGCATTCATTTTTTGAACGAAATATAATTATTTATATTGTTAGCACACAACGTGGATTTTTTCTCGTTTCATTCAAAAATTTAAAAAAAAATGTCATAGCTCTTATACCACTATTTTAATTTTTAAACTTTCTCCTCTCTTGATTCTTCTCTAATGATAAACAGGACTGCCAACTTTCGATATTTTTTGGGAAGTTTTCTTCTAGCGGTAGATATGTTTCAATGTAAAATTCTTTGTTTTGAAATTTTGATTTAATGCTATTTTTCACACTATTACGCGTAATGATTCAAATGTTCGTGCGAAACACCAATTTGTTCTAGCCTAGTCATGATTTAACGCTCATTTGTCCTAAAAATACTTTTCTTACTCCCTTTGCATTCCCACCCCCCTCATCGAATTTCATAGATCAGGGATGAATGGGTAAAGATCGGTAAGTTCCTTATAGGTAGTCCGATCAGACCACTATGAAAGTAAACCAGTTTATGAAAGAGTCATCTAATAAAAATCTAGTAAAAATAAGAAAGTGGTAGCAAATATATGTCTTAAAATTTGTTTAATTAATGAATATTATAGGTTTGTCTTATTTACTTGTCAACCACTACGGATTCAATTCTCAAATATATATGATAAACTTCTCTCAATTACTGTTACAGTTCTTCACTCTTAGTTTAAACCAGTGGTTCCCAACCTGGGGGCGATAATCCTTAGGGGGGCGATCAGGGGGCGACGAGTACTCAAAAGATAAAAATTGCTAATAATATTAATAATAAAAGCTATTTGAGATTGAAATTGAAAATATATATGAAACCAATGGTTCTGGTGTAGACGAAGAATTATGATAGTAAAAAATTAAAAAAAATTCAAGTGCAGGATCGTTATCGTCAAACGTTTTGGTATCGTAGGCGGAAATCTGATAAGTCACTCTGTTCCTCTGAGCAATAATACTGTTTCCAGGCGTATTGATGAGATGGCCGCCGACGTTGAATCAAAACTCATCAAATTTCTGAAAGAAGGTAAATTTGCGTTGCAGATTGATGAATCAACTGTGATAGATAACAAAGCTGTTTTAGCTTACGTGAGATTCATAAATGAGAG